GCCTCAGTGAAGCATGAAAGCAACATCTATAAACGTACAGAAAATACTAATATGCAGATACAATATTTCTATGACTATCTTGGATGAGTGGAATTTATTGTAATAAACGGGATCATCACTTTCAGAGGTAGCATTAGTTTTTTTGTAAATAACTGCTCGACACTGTTGTGCTGGTGAAATTGTGGTGATCATTTGTTATTTAATTTTACGCTGTAAAGATGCTTTAATCGCTTGAATGTAATTTTAGTTGCCCGACTCGTTCGAATGTGCAAGTGAATAACATGTGATGTATGTTTTTATACATATTTATAAAATTTTATATATTTATATGAGAATCACGAAGCAATAAAAACAAATGTTGACAGATTACGGTAATAGTTTATCATTTTTGAAGTAGACATTCTAATACTACTATGCAAAGCGAAAATTATGGATATGTACAGCAATCAGAAGAAAAAACACATCTAGTAGATGAACATCATTTATAAAAAAAATCCAACACTAATCTTCCGCAGCGATGCTTTACAGATTTACATCTGCGTGTATGAGAGGATGACTTTCATTTCCCTGTTTGATTCTGCCGCAGACGACAATACTCTTGCAATCTGAAACGAAATCTAAATCATCAATGTAGCCTATCTTCTTTTATATTTCATTGCAACATGATAATATGAAACCATATAACCCCCTTATTTTCTCCCAAGATAACAAATTAGCAGAAAGACTTCTTTCTCTCTTCTTTCTTTTCAACAATTAGGAAATGAAATTGCTTTTTTCTTTTTTTTACCGTAATGCATTGATTTTGATGAATCCACCTGCATCTGTTGGTTCATAGTCACCTTGTACATCCATACTGTCAAACGAAACAAGTACTTTTGAGCACAAAAATGAACGACCCCTATTTCCATACAATACGTATTCCGCATTTCTTATGATAATTCCTCTCATTCAGTGTCTTATTTTTTTTCCTTGAAGTTTTATTTGTTACAAATTTTTAAAAAAAAAATTTCTTTCCATTCCCTATACCCACTTTATATGTTAAATTTTACATTTATTGCGAAAAAAATTGAGTTGCTTCACCTGACGAGTTCTGCATTGTAAAGAGATAATGGTGACTCCCGGCCTAGAATGTACACCCCTCCTTTATACAGTTTGACAGTGACGTTACCAGTCACGTGATTTTGGCTCCCCTGAATACAGGCGCGCGTGTACTCACATTCTGGACTAAACCAAAACCCTAATCAAAACAAATCAGTCCTTACATGTATAAGTCTTATACAACTTGTTACATACAATAAAATGGTTCTTTACTTGTGTCATGATGATATACACCGTGTTATATACAAAGTTGTTTATGTAAAGGAGAAAGGACGAAAACTGTCCATTCTGTGAGAAAGGAGAGTTTTTTGCCTTTCTCCTACTCAAATCATGATTTCCTTGTTCTGAGAATTAATTACAGTAAAGATTTTACAAATTTGGTAGCAGATATTAAGAATTGATTTTGTCATGTAGCACACATACAACGACAAGTTCACTGTTTACAGAATGGGCAGTCATAGGTAAGTTATAGGGGAACATGTACATAGTTATTATTTGTTGAAAACCATTGTTTTCCAGAAGCAAAGAACAATTTTAAGGTCTTTAGTCTAAAGGTAGTGTTGCAGGTGAATTTTGTTGGAATAGTATTTTTAAAACAAAGGCCCAGGGGCCACATCGCTCACCTGAGCAACTGGCCAGGAAAAATCACACATCAGATCAGAGCTGAAAGTTTGCTGGGGGGAGGGCTTGAATTTTAACCTCCCAGGGGGTCATGATTTGAACAAACTTGAATCTACACTACCTGAGGATGATTCCCTATAAATATCACTAAGCATGGCTTTAAAGTACTTGAAAACAAGATTTTAAAAGGTTTCCCTAGATATTCCTATGTAAAACTTTTATCGGCCATTTTGGCCCCACCCTACCCCTGGGGGGTCATGATTTGAACAAGCTTGAATCTACACTATCTGAGGATGATTCCACATAAGTTTCATCTTTCCTGTCTCAATGGTTCTTGAGAAGAAGATTTTTCCTATATATTCCTATGTAAAATTTTGATTTGCCATTTTAGCCCCACCCTACCCCCCGGGGTCATGATTTTAACAAAATTCAATCTACACTACCTGAGGATGATTCAGCATGAGTTTCATCTTTCCTAGTCCAGTGGTTCTTGAGAAGAAGATTTTTAAAGATTTTTCCTATATATTCCTATGTTAAACTTTGATCAGCCATTTTGGCCCCACCCTACCCAGGAGGTCATTATTTGAACAAACATGAATCTACACTAGCTAAAGATGATTCCACATGAGTTTCATCTTTCCGTGGTCCAGTGGTTCTTGAAGAACAAAATTTTTAAAGATTTTTCCTGTATATTCATATGTAAAACTTTATTCGGCCATTTTGGCCCCACCCTACCCCTGGGGGTCATGATTTGAACAAACTTGAATCTACACTACCTGAGGATGATTTCATATGAGTTTCATCTTTCCTGGTCCAGTGGTTCTTGAGAAGAAGATTTTTAAAGATTTTCCCTATATATTCCTGTTTAAAACTTTGATCGGCCATTTTGGCCCCACCCTACCCTTGGGGGGTCATGATTTGAACAAATTTGCATCTACACTACCTGAGGATGATTCCACATGAGTTTCATCTTTCCTGGCCCAGTGGTTCTCGAGAAGAAGATTTTTTAAAAATGCCATTAATTTTTTTCTAATTCATAATTATATCCCCTTGGAAAAGGGCGTGGCCCTTCATTTGAAGAAACTTGAATCCCCTTTACCCAAGGATACTTTGTAGCAAGTTTGGTTGAAATTGGCCCAGTGGTTCTTGAGAAGAAGATGAAAATGTGAAAAGTTTACAACAACGCCAACAACGACAACGCCAACGACGCCAACGACAACGACAGACAACGGACAAATTTTGATCAGAAAAGCTCACTTGAGCTTTTGGCTCAGGTGAGCTAAAAAGCATGCGATGCTTCAATATCAGTTTATAACCTGCGTTGTAAAGGCTTCCGTTTCCTCAGATAGAGAGAGTATGTATACATACATGTACGACAGAATCAAAATCTAATGAACCAAAAGAGGAAACAAAAATGATAAAATAAATGCATCTGGAAACAGAAAATAGTCAAGGAAAAATTAAGCCAAACTTTGTCCCAGAAATGAACATTCTTCCTGACAAAATACAGATAAGCAAATGATATCTAGAAATGTTTTATTTGAATTCAATTTTTGAGGATATACTGGGGTATTGATCGCAGCAGTGTTAGGGAGATGCAGATTTTTTTATGCGTGTTGGATTATCCAATAGTGAAACTTCGATCTGAAAATGTATTTCAAATAAAGCCTAGAAATATTTCAGTTTTAATTAATTCTATACGGAAATTTTATCTGCAGCAGTGAGTGTAGTTTTCGCGGTTTAATTGTGAAATTGTGGTCATTCAAATTCAAGTATTGTGAAAATTAAGTTTACAGCTGTGAAATAATGTGCTTTTTTTCTTGGATTCATGGACAGCAGACGTTGTGCAGACATCAAGTTGGACTATGTATTGTTAGATTTAAGCGTTAATTCTTTTTACTATTTGCATGTAGTTAATTAAATGATTTAATGTATTCGTTTTTGTTTCCCTATTGAGCAGATGCCAATGTTTAACCATTCTATTTGTTTTAACCACAGGCCTTTGGATCGCTTAAATTTTTTTTTTCAACACCTCAAATTTTTTCTAAGCGAACTAAAGGCCTGTGGTTTTAACTGTCAATTTTTTCCCCCCAAAAGGAATCATTATGGATACTTATACCGGTATATACTCAGGGCCCATGGCATTGCGGGATGCATTTTTTAATTAGATATTATGATAATTACCGTACCCCTAGACACGTTGTGGTTTATGTGATACTATACCTTTATACACTTGATCTGAGAAGGAGATATCGAGATTCCGTTTTATTTTCCGTACTTCCTGAAAGTAATAATTTGAAACGCTTTGAATAGTGCTGAAAATTAAGCTACCCACGGACTACAATATTCTGAATGTCAGGTGGGCAAGGGGAAATGTGCAATTCGGGGGTTAATTGTTATATCACCCTAATGACTAAAGAATCTTCAATTATTCTAATACAGCTTATGATTAAATGATACAAGCTTGTGGGGCAAAACATAGCCAGCTGTTCAATTTCAAACCAAAAATGCCAGCGCTGAAAAGACCCAGAATCAAGAACTTGAACAACTGGTCCTTTTCTTTTGCCATCTTAATAACTTACATTTGTATAAAAAAAATATTGTTTGATTTTGAAAAAAAGAAAGAAAAATGCTGTGTTCGTTTTAAAGTCACTTCCAAGTGAACATAACTTGTGGTTTTTACAATGTTAGATTTCATTTACGGTAATAGGAATTATTCAATCATACAATTTGCAATATTTTTTTCCTTGATTAAGCAACATCAAAAACGTTACCCTATCTAAGGTAAACAGCTCAATGTCCATATGTGCAGCTAGTATAATAGTTCCACCAGGTGTTTCATAAAGACCTAGGGAAAAAAAATCAAAAACCAATCAAAACATCATTATAAAATATATTTCTATTTAATAATGAAAAAGAATAAAATGCACGGATAAGGTATATGCTAGATTTGAAATTCTACTAGTACATGTACATATATATATATATATATACTTGAATGTTACCTCTAGACTTCATTCCAATGAATCTGTTTTCTACTATGTCTATTCTTCCGATGGCGTGCTTTCCACTAGAATTATATGAAAAATACATTGTTTACGGAAAGAAGTATTTTGCAGTTTTACAATTCGTAATATTTTCAGTAAGCATTTTAAGTTTAATATTACAAATACCCTAATTCATTCATGTAAGAGAAAATTTCAAGTGGTTTATTCTTTTCCGTGTTGTTTCCTAAATTCTTAACATGAACAGGCAAACCTGTAAATAAACAAAACATTTCGTGTATTATTATTATTTATTCATAAATAAAACAGAAGCAGGTAAATTTTGAGAGCTTAAAAAGATTTTGTACCTCAATATTCTCTAAGATTCATGGCACTATGTACATTCAAAAAACTTTTTTTTCTATCGATATACAGTGCATATTGATTAATTTTTCCTATTTTTTAATTTTCTGTATTTATTTTGAAAAAAAAAAGCTTTGAGTGTTTTACAATATAAGAGTACCATTTTTAAAGGAGATGAGGATTTTCTCTGCTTGATCGGGGGCTTGTTCTGGATCTACCGTCATCTGGTAAATGCCGGGAGGGGCGTGTTTAGCTGGATCCTCCAAAACACCCGACTCGTAGCTGTAAGAAAATGTCATAAACTTAGAGG